CCAAGCATGGGCAGAACCAAAGATCAACCAATATAGGATGAGCATGTATACAGCGGAAGTCTGAGAAATGGACTGACTCACATAGACTGAACGCACCCAAACATCTCTCAACACACAAGCAATCGTGAGATGGAGGGGGGGTAGACGATGCTTCAGGCCCCGTACAATCATACACAGATGAATGGTGGGAGGAGAGACGATGGAGGTGGGAGATATGGACAGCGCCAGATGTCACCGAGTTAGAATCCAGAAGGTCACCGATATGGTAGCCCAAAATGTCACCGAACAAAATCAGAATGTCGTGGACATAAGTCACCGATGTCGGAGGTACAGAATCCTAATGTAACCGATGTCCGATCTGTGATGCCGCCTGGTATCAATCCCAACTATCTCCAATGTCTCGAATCCGGTAAGTGTCACAGCTTCCTACCACTGAAGTCCGATCACTGATCTCTGTCCAACTCGTATCAATAGTCTCCAGTCTGAAGAAGAAGAAGAAGAAGAAGTCTGAAGACGAAGAGGAAGAAGTATGAAGAAGAAGAAGGAGAGTCCGAGAGGGGCAGAGGGGAGGTGGAGAGGTCGAGTCCGCGCCCAGGCTCCTACCTGCGGTTGCAAGCTGGCGCCTTGGAACTGTCGAAGACCCGTGGCTCCAACCTGGAGCTATGGGGCTACGCAGGTAAGCCGGTAGTGTCCGTCCGCCACCTCCAACCGTCACTCAGCGCTAATCAGCGCTGCTGTCCTCCGAGCTGCGCTAAACCCAAATTAGTGCAGCGCTATTCCATAACTGTTGCCGTACTCCTCCGGTCGCTGAACCAACTGCCGCTGGGTACTAAATACCGTAGTGGTCTGTTCGGCCTTGCTGCTTCGAAACAGTGCCGTGGTCTGAACCGTCAGATCCGGTTGCCGATCTGCGGTTTCAGATTGGCCTTGTGGGCGGCAGCCTCTAGGGCGCCGCCAGTCCAACGGTCATATTGTTGGACCGTGTCCGCTTGGGCCTGTGCGACGGGGCCTACCGGACGGCCTTCCGCATAAAGGTCCGGCCTTTGGACCGGGCCGGCCTGGACTATCGTGTCCAGGCCTAGTGCTCAGGTCCGAAAGGGACCCGTGTGACATGCAGTATGTAACACACAACCTCTCCCAGCGATGCTTCACCACTTCCGCAGTAGAGGGTTTCTTAGTAATCAGTGAAAGAATTAGCTTTGCAGTCGGTTGGTGTAGGCCCATTTTCAACCCATCATCTGTCATCCAGCCCCATGCATCCGGATCAATCTTCAGGTCCTTGATCGGAGCAGCATCCTCAATGACTGTGAGCCTATCTGGAAAACCCTCTTCCTTAGGAGGTGACCTTCTTACCTGGACCTCCTCCAGATTATTCAGGCTGTAGCTGGCTTTTACACCCGCTATCTGCACTTCCGGCAGACCTGGCAGGGCGCTCTCCAACCAGCACTTCCCAGGGGTCTCCTCCATCCATTCTTGTAGCCTGAACACTTGATCGTCGGCCCCGTCTGTATCTCTGTACCAAGTTCCGGTTAGAATGATGCTTTCAGGTCCAATTAGTGCCACCCAGTCCGATCGTACCGCCTGAATCAAGGCATACAATCTTTCTTTAACCAATGCCAGCTGACCAAGCTGTTCATGGATCAATTGAGGGGATCTCCAAGAGTT